GCGCTGCGTTCTTCACGGGAATAGCGAACGACGCACGCCAAATGCAAAATTAACAACCTAATTAATACCTAGACCTGTCAGAAGGCAGCGCGACAAGCCCATCCGCTTAGCCGCGCCGCCTCGCCCCATGGGCAGCCGCTCCCGGTGCCCAGATAGCTGGCATAGTTGAATCATTGGCAATGGGAGGCAGGGAGATAAGCTGTGGCAGATGTGGGAGGGAGCATAGTGGGGCATATTCGCGTTTTTAATTGGTGCCCGGAACGTAGCACTGTCGGGCACATGAGCAGAGGGCGAACCGCAAACTAACTAACGGCCAGCGGGCGGTCGCTGTCAAAGTCAGCTGCTGCAGGAACTGGCTAAAAATGGCTAAAAATGCAGAATTGACTGCCGCCGTCCGAGAGTTTCAGCCATATTGAAGGCGTTTGCGGTCGTCTAACAGCACTTGACCGGACGTTTATTGAACATTTTTACTTGCGGTTCTCTCGACTCTCAACTCTCCACTCTGCACTCGCCACTCTCCTCTCTCCAATATCTGCTGGCAGTGCTCAGTGCTCTTGGCCAACTGGCAGCTGCTTTGGCAGGCGCTTTTATTAATTTCGGCGAGCGCGTCTCAATTTCACGGACAGTCATCAGTATTAAATGCAAATAGCTACAAAATGGGATTTGCAAACACAGAGGAGCCGAGAGCCGAGAGTCGAGTGACAGCGAGTGCCATAGATTTGGCGGCTGTCCTGGGCGAAGCCAGCGGAATTGGCCAAAAATGCGTTAAATGCAAATTGGATAAGAAGTCGTGTCAGGCAGGACGACCAGGACGAGCAGGACGACCAGGCGCTGCATATGGCTGCCAAAAAGAAACCCAAAAAAAAAGGCATAACGAAAAGAAGAAGCAGCCGCAACTGTAGCCGAGGCTACAGCAGTTGCTGAAGGATATCCGCAAGGATGTGGCACTCGCATCACATGAGCGGCGAGCACGAGGCCGCGTTTCGTGTTCATTTCACAAATGAAAGCCGCGACAAACTTGAAAGTGGATTACGTTTGCCTAGCCTGGATACGCCAAACCAGGATACGCCAGGGCCGCCCCCTCCTGCTCTTCGCTCTGTATCCGTATTCGTATTCGCGCCGCACAGCTCGACTATCTGCCACCGCATGTTCTTGCAACATAAATCCGTGAATTTTGCGCGCTCGCAAATTTATGGCGCTGGCGACACTTTCAGCTCAAAGTTTGCTGCCAGCGGCATTGTTGTATTTATGACCGCGACATGACCTGATCCTGCCGCCACTTCCTGCTCGCTGCTCGCTGTCGTGGGCGACTGCCGCTGAAAAGTGTTGCGAGTACGTGCAACCTCAGGCTCAGCCTCTGAATGAGCCTCTGCCTCAGCCTCTGCCTCAAGCTGCAAGCCGCAAGACTTAAAAGTGGCGCTCGGAAATTGGATTTACTTGCGAGCCAAACTGCCGTCTTAAATCTGCACGCCTGTCAATTTGCTCCTGTTTAAGCGCGATTTATATGGCATCTGCCACACCCCCTCCCCCACCCCTTTTGGGGCGCTGCTGCCGCTAATGAGTGCCGGCTGCCTTTGTCCCGCTGCCTCTGCAAACAAGCCAAACAGGACGCTGGCAGCGTGCCCCAAGACTCAATTGGAGTTAATTACGTGGAAGCGGCTCACTGTCACAGAGGCGCAGGCAGAGGCGGAGGCAGAGGCAGAGGCACAGTCACAATTACAGTTACACTCGGCTATTTACATGTGATACTCCCCCACAAATATGACGGCAAAAAAGAAAACTAAGAAGGACAACGACTTAGCTCGACTGGAAGATACTCTGCCTTTAGTATTGTATTTAGAGAAAGTGAATTATTTTTGTGAATGATTTGATGATTTTGCTGCGAAGATAAAATTAATTCTAGAAATTCGTAATTAAAGATCTCGAGGAAAAATTCTATGCTTGTTTAGAAAATATCTTTAGCTACAAAAATTGAAATAAAGTTACCTTACTTTAATCCAGATCAACTTATTCCTTAAGTTATTCGAAAAGCATTCATAAAAGTTTTAGGACTATCAATCTTTTTTAAAACAAAAGAATCGAAGGTTATAGGTATATAGAAAACACATATACAAAATAAAATACGATTATATTAAACAAGTAAGAAGGCTCCAGTCGAGACTGCTYGACTAGGAGATACCCTGAACCCTCCAAACTGAWATTCTAATCATTCTGGACTTCTTTTATGCACACATACATACACATGCACGTATAAGCACGCGCTTTGCAAACTGCGCAGCTAGCAGCGGCTGCGCTTGGGCTGCACTGCAGTGTGGGCAATATAACGAGAATTTATTTGTTGAATAATTTCTTTTGTAGACATACGATCTTAATGAAACTTTTAGAGCGTAATCATATGGCTTAAATGTGTGTACATTTCAAAGCACAAGTCTCTAGTACTTATATCTTCTGAGATCCTTTTGCTCATACGGACGGACGGACGGACGGACGGACGGACGGACAGACGGACAGGGCTATATCGACTCAGCTCGTCGTCCTGATCAAGAATATATATACTTTATGGGGTCTGCGATGATTCCTTCTGCCTGTTACATACTTTTCACAAAACCATTATACCCTGATTTCCCATTTTCAATGGGTTCAGGGTATAAAAATAAGATACGATCATTTTAACAGCAGCATCCTTAACTCACTTAAAATTTAGTTCCCGTCATTATTGGAGCTGTCAAGTCCTACGACATTTGCATTTCATATTCAAGTATCTAATCAATATGCCCTTGCCCATACGTAAATGTAGGGTATACAAAAAAATATGCTCAATTCATTGGCTAAAATCAATTGAACCGGATGCATAGCGTCGATGGCGACTGCTGACCGTTGGCCGCTGCCCGCCGTGCGCTGTCCGCCGGTCGCCGCTCGCCGCTCGTCGTTCGCCATCCGCCGTACTTCATCCGATTGCCGTTCGCCTGCCCCTTGGCAGGATGTCAATTGTGATTGAACGCGTTTTGCTTATGGCTGCAGAATCCCATTTGCAGTTGTTGTTGTTGTTGCTGTTGTAGTTGTTTGCTCAACGTCTCAGCATTTGGGCAAATGGGCAGCCAAAACGTAGCCATAATTATTGTTATGTTAATAAAGAGGCCCTGTCCAGAATAGAGCTGTTAGTTATTTAGAGGGTGGCCGCAGAGGCTTTAGTCATCTGCTCGGCCATTGATTTTTACGTTATGTGTTTGCGCATCGACTTTGCATAAAAATGGCAAAGTGACACAAAACTTTGACGTTGTGGATAACGATTCGGATATACTATGCGGGCTAGCGGACTGCCGTACTGGCGAAATGGCGGATTGTCGGGCTGTTTGAGTTTTGGCTAAACGCCTGCAAGTATGCCACAAATTTCGGCCGCACGCCATTAACAGCAGACCCTCAAGTCAAGGGGCGTGGCAGCCAGCACTCCTTTCGCTTTTTTAGTGGCAGAGTGTGTGAGTGATGATGGGGGTGGGGGGAGGGGAGAGGAAGACAGAGATTCGCTACAGTTGTTGGTAGCTGCAACTGATACGAAGCACCGCCTCCACGCCTACCCCGATAGGTGTGACAGATCGTGTGATTGATGAAATGCGGGCAGCAAGCAGCCTCCCGAGCCGCCGCCTGTGGGCCGCCAAACTAATTTCCACATTTTTCACATTTACGAAGACAAATTGAGGTGCGAACTTGGGTCGAGGCAATAAAATTGCCGAATATCAAAACAACAAAATCTTTTGCAACAGTCGGCCATAAAAAAAGACGAGCCGAAAGGGGTTTGAGCGACTGAGTGACTGAGTGACTGTGTGAGCAGGGGGCCGAAGGGGGTAAGTGCCACACATTTGACACAGAGGCTTCAAAACACCGCCAGAGACGCGCTGAGAGTGTCAGGCATGCGAATGCCAATTGTTTTTCGATTTCGCCGCTTAAAAATGCGCAAATCCGTGAGCGGCGCATTAGGCGAGGGCTGCGTAGGAAGTTCGAAGTTGGAAGCTGGACCCACAACACTATAAAACTCAATATCTACAACAATAAATTTCAAGTCGCACACACACGCACACACGATAGAGCAGCTGCACAGCTGGGGAAACGTGGCGAATCGATGTCATTGCCGATTTCTATTTCGATTTCGATTTCTTGCCTTTCTGCTGTTTACTGTTGTAGTTGTTGTTGTTGTTTTTTAAGTTTTCCATTTCATTTCGTTTTATGTGCGACTCGCCAAAAGTTGTCAACGACAATTCGCTAGCCATAAACGTGGAAACTCCCTCCTCCCTTCAGCCATGCCCAACCCTCCCATACCTCTTTGGCTTTTCAATAAAACCCAACACCAGCCGCAGACACAGCCCATCCGCTCCGGCCATTATTTGTATTAGCATAATGTTGTTTCGATTCTGATTCTGATTCCGATCCGATTTGCTACAATTTTATTTATTGTTTTTATTTTTATATATTTTGTGCACGACAAACTTAAGCATTGCGCTCGTAAACCAATCGAAATTACATTTTAAATAGTTCTTGTTTCTCTCTTCTGTGCTTTTTTATGGCTAATTTATGCGCATGGCCAAATCGAATGGCCGAAGGTCGAGGGCCATCAAAACTGGCCACCAGAGATCTGCAGCGATTGTTAATTGAGCTGCCTCTCAAGCCCAATGCCAAATGTCGTTCACGATTCGGAGTGATCCACGGATTACTCAGCTGTGCAGCGTCGAGTGGTCAAGGCCATGTCAGAGGCGACCTTGGAGCATGTGCGAAATGTGCGAGCTGGAGATCCATTATTATTTTGGCGTCTCAATTTGTAACATTTCCCCAATTCTCAGCGGCTGTGGCTCAAGTGCAAAAACCCAAAACAGATGAAAAGAGTCAATAGAACTGGGCCAGCGGGGCAGATGGGCGAAACGTACGAAAACTCTGCATAAAAATAGACTGCATGTGGATGAATGATACATGTGTATATAGATATATATTGTCGAGCATCTGTTTTGTATAAAAAATTGGGAAATTAAAATGAAAATCAAATGTGCCTGACAGACATCTTAATGCGCCCGCCAGAGCACAGGCCCAGCAGTCTTCAGGGTCAGCGCCAGCGATTCAAGAGCACACGCACCGCACAGTGATCGAAGGGATCCAGGTCTCCGGTGCTGACATGATAGAGCAGGGCGTGCAGATTGAAGGGCACGCGCTGCTCGCTCTTCATGCTCAGCCAGGTGGGTCGCACCATTGCGCTCACCTTGCGCGCATTCAGCTGCGGACAGGTGTCCAGGTGGCGCGCCATGAACAGCTGCCTGAAGTTCTCGTAAGGCGTCGGGCGCAGCTCGTGGTGAGTCAGCGACCTCCAGCAGAAGCTGAGCCTCTCAGCCGAGCTGAGACTCTCCCAGCTGGGCTCAGTGCTCGTGCACTCCCCGCATTGCCGCCGCCGCAGAGCTCTGAGTTGGTAAAGCGTCTTGGCACGGCGCTCCATTATCTTCAAATGCTGCTTCGTCGGCCTCTTTTGCAGGTCGAACAGCTTGGAGCATTTGCTGGCCACCTTGGTGGCCTTAGCCTCAGTCGAACCAGGTTTCGTCTCTGTCGGGCTTTCGCATTTCTTGCCTTTCGGCTCATGGCTCTCCTCTAGATCCGAAGCGCGTATTTTGCGCGGCTCGCAGCGCTCCTCCGCATCGTAGGTGACCAGGCGCTTGGGATACTTGTGCCGAATGGTATAGCTGAGGCACTCGACGGGCTCTTTGGAATAATCCTCGCAGCTGCGGGAGGCATTCGCATCGTCAGGCTTGCATGAGGCGCTGAAAAGTCGAGCCATCTCCTCGTTTACATCCAAACTTAAGAATTTGCATAGGATATTCATAGCTAAAAAACAAAAATTTTTATAAAACTTGGCCAAGTTAACAGGAGAATCAGAGAGGTGTGTGTGTGTGTGTGTGCGAGGGGAATGTTTTCAATTGTTTTATCAGTTTTTCGGTACACTATAAAGCAGCCCCTAACGGCGCCTAGTCAGCCGCGAGCCGCCTCATAATTTAGTGTTCATGAAAATATATGGCCCTATATTATAAATGCGAAAAATAGTCTCTGCTATTACCAATAAAAATCTTGCTCGAATGGTTGCCTCGGCTGGGAGCGCAGGCAGTGGGGGCGGGGCTCCAAAATGACAGCTATATTAAAAATGCTGCTGTTTGTGCAAAAAAACACAAGTGACAGGGCTGCAAATGATAGTAGAAGACTATGAGATACCCTGTAATCAGGGTAGAGAAGAAGAAAATGACTTAGCTCCCAATATATTTAAGTAATATAATATAAGATGTATAACTTCTATAGATAGATTCATATAGATAAAAGTATATAGATGTACATATAAATATATTTACTTTTACTATAAGATGTACAAATCGCTTTTAGTACATCGCTCTACAAGATATATAGTTACTAAATAAATTTTTGCTCAGAGATCACTGTGCATCATCAACAAGCCAATATACCCCACTGCTTACTCACTTTCACCGAGTACAGGGTATTCGATAGATAGCAAAAGGAAGCCGCCAACTGAGCATTTGAATTTGTGCAAATATTTTGGTTTGGCTTTTCATATTTCCCCGGAGTATTTATGCTTTGCGCTTATTATCTAGCTGAGGTTCCCAGTCTGTGGAAACATGTTCATGCTCATATTCATATTCATGTTCATGTTCATATTCATTCTTCCGATTAAGCAGTTTTCATGGTCATCATTAAATATGTTCATATAGTCGCAGCAATCTGGCTGCTTGGCGAAATAAAATAAGTGGCCTAAATAAAAATGTTGGCTATATTTTTACGCTGTTTACGAGTCAATGCGAACGATTCGCATTTCGAACCGTTCGACTGCCCGACTGTCTACGCCCCAACTGAAAATCGCTGCAATTATGAAAATTTATTTCGTTTATTACATCATGAAAATAGCTCAACGTTAAACGTATCCCCCAAAAATACGTAATGAACGCGTATGGATCTGGCCACAAGCTGTCACAGCAATTAAGAGCTGAGGAGCAGCAATTTCGCATTGTCCTGGACATTCATTGATTGTCCCTGCCCTCCTCCCACTGCCTCCCCCTCCGCTTATTACATGCCATTCTGTGGCTTTTTCGGCATTTCTCTGCCTGCTAATTTCAAGTTAATAACGCTGAAATATATTTAATGCACACTCGATTTTCCATCGTTTTCTCTCTCAATTGCCAATTTCGGCAGCCATTTGACGTTTATTTCGTTATTAGCCAGCATTGCGTTAGCCAAGCCAAGAATTATCCTGGTCAAGACCAACTATTAGATCGGTTAACAATTCTCATTAGGTTACTTTATGATAAGATATGATAAGATGGACTCCAATATGGCATTAAATCTAAGTAGAATTTATGAAATTTTTTTTTGGTAATTTTTGTTACATTAGCTTAATTTAAATTGCTTTGACTTTAAAGACTTTTTCATTTTATTATTTTTAAAAATTTTAAATTTATTTAAAATTTTTAAATTTAAAATTTACTTTTTAAACTAAATTCAATAAAAATAAAAACCAAGGCATTTCACAATAAGTCTATAATTTCCCATGCATATTTTGTTCCTCCTGCTTTCATCACAAACTCTCCCCCCCCCCCCGCTCTCTCTCTCTCTCTCTCTCTCTTTCTCTCTCTCTCTTTCTCTCTCTCTCTCTCTCTCTCTTTCTCTCTATCTACTCCCACAGCAGTCGCTTTTAATTCCCTTAGTTATTTGTAGCTGGCACACATGTTTTTATGACGAAATAGATAATATCTGCCAAAGATGAACACCTTCCCCTTGGCGCTTAGGTGAGAATCAATGCCGTGTTGCGGCTAATGGCAATGCGTCGCCTGCAGCTCCCACAACAATAAAATTCCCATTTAGAGGCAGGCAGCACACACACACTCTGCTCTCTCAGCCCCTCCTCACCCACTCAATGAAAGCGAAATTGATTGCATTTCTTTTTGATTTTACTGCCAACAGGCCAGAGGGCAGAGGAGGGACGGGGCTAGGCAGCTGACAGCAAAAGCTTCAAAATGCACTCAAATCTAAATCTTGGCAGAATCGTAAAAACTTAGCATAGCATGCGATCAGATTTTCCCAAGGAATATTTTTCCGATACTGATTAAGAATCAGGGCTGAACTAAATCTTAAAATTGAACTTAATTATGTTTTATTGTTAAATTTCATTCGAATATTTTAGACTTATTCAAAAGTCTTTTGATATGAAAGCGAACTTTTTAAAATTTACTTGAAAGTCTTTTAATATGAAAGCGAACTATATTTTTTAGTTTTATAAAGAATATTATGTAAAACAAAAAACAAATATTTTATTGTTGTAAATTAAAAAAAAAAAAAAGAAAAAAAAAACGACTAAAATCGATTGTTAAATGTTGAGTTTTTTAAATAGTATCTGTTTAACTGCTAGTCGATCACTCCCCATTGGAGCCTTTCTGCTTATTTTTTAAATAAGCTTCACAAATTTATGGCGCTTAGGTGAGCGCCAATGCCGTGTTGCGGCTAATGGCAGTGCGTCGGCCGCAGCTCCCAGAACAATAAAATTCCCATTTAGACGCGAATGCTAACAGCCAGTAGCAGGCTCCGAGCCCTGCCCCCTAGACAGCTCAGCCCCTTCTGTATAGTGAAGCAGCAGCAGCAGGAGGAACAGTTTTGCCTTGTGTTTTGTGTGTTTACGTGAAAACAATTTTTATGGCATGTCAAAAACCTATTTTAATGCTTTTAATGAAAGCGAATTTTATTGCATTACTTTTCGATTTTACTGCCTCGCGAGGGCGGGGCCCTACCCACCAGAAGCTGGTGGCAGCATGTGCGTAAAAATGCACTCAACACAAAATGTTGACAAGCTCGTAAAAACTTTGCACGGCATGCGAATTGTCAGCCCGCTGTCGAAGCAAAAACAGGTGACAAAGCAGAAAAACACGAAGTCTGAGGAAAACAAAGAAAACTGTTCGCAGTTTATCCATAACAAAAGCCACTTAAAGTGCCAAAATGTGGTTGCGTCCTTGCCCTCTGTGCCACACACATTTCCGTTGCCATATCTATTTGGATTTTGCTTTTTTTTCTTTGCATAAATTCAAGAGGAAGAAGCAGCAACAGCAGCAGCGGCAGCCAGCGGCTCCCCGAAGTATGCTCGATTTTTGGAAATTGTGAATTTTGTGCGCTTGGCTTTGGGCCTGCGACTACCTTTGCCAAATTCATTTGACCAGAAACTTAAGTTATATTTTGGAGTCGCGCCAACGGGTCGAAAGAGACATGTTTAGTGCCACGGCGGCAGCAGCAGCAGCAGCACCAGCAGCAGCAGCGACAAAAGCTTTCAGCCATAAAGAGCCACCAATTCCGAGGACGACATTGTCGTCGTCGTCGTCGTCGTCCTCGCACACGTCTCCTGTCGTAGCACTCAATGTCAGCGAAATGCACATGCAACTCCTCGACTGGTTAAAGAGGATATCGACGCTGGGTCGCTGGGTTTTGGCTGAGTAATTCAGTGCTCGGGGCTCGAAACAATGCCGCCACAGGCACAGGGGGAGCTAGCCGGCTTCCCGGTCTGCTGCTGACAGGGCTGACAATACTTTGGAATTGGACGCACTTTTGCGATCCATGTGGCATACATTAAATATTGCATATGCACTAAATGGATTAGGGTAGACCAGACCCGAGACCATTGACAGGGTCAGTCATGCATTGTTGGCCGGCCAAAAGCTGTCGAAGTGTCACAGTCACAAGGCAACGTCTTGGCCAGCGAAACATGGCTTAAAGCACTGCACTGCATTGCACTCGGCCAGCTCGACGGCCCATATTCGAATTCAAGTTTAGTTAGATTCGCAAACCGACACAGCCCGCCCCTGGCTGTGGCAACCCTGCAATTAGGGGTGACTGCGATGGGTCTGCACTTGTAGGTCTATTGCTTCGCTTTTGCCTTCGCCTTTGCCTGGGACTGCGACTGTGACGAATGCTTGGACTGACAATAAAGTGTCATTAGGATATATATTGGCTGGCATTTGCATCGTAAAAACCAATGGCACTCGCTCCAGCCAAAGCCACACCAAATTCGTTTCATAAGCACATAAAATGACAACAAGCCAATGCAAATTAGCTAACGATGAGACGCCGCTGCCGCTGCCGCTGCACAACTACATCGAAGCAAAAAGGTGGAGCAGAGCCCAAGACAACAAAAACAAAAAAAGAAGAAGAAGAAGCAGAGAAAAAACAACTTTTTCGCAAATACATAATTTTCAATGGCAAAGCATAAAAAAGTGGAAACTCGGCTAAATACGGTAGTAGCTAGACTCTTAAATACCCTGGAAAATGAAAACTGAGACAAGTTGATGAAAGAAGATGGAAAGGAATGATTTTAGTGAAGTCGATGCAAAGAAAAGACAAGGTAATATTTTAAAATATTTTCTGTCATTATTTACGTAAGAGTCGCTTCTTTCAGACAGCATGGAGCATAGAATAGAATACATAGATACAATAATAAATACTAAACTATCAAACCTAGCTAAATATCATACTGATTTTTCTTAAGTAACAAAAAATACTATAAATAATAAAAATATTAAAAGTTTTAATTTAATTTAAAACCGATTGTAATTTAAAAAAACTACAAAAATAATCTAGATAATTTGATTCGTTCTCGATAGCTATCGATAATTTCAGTTTCTGTGTTAATCGAAAAAAAAAGTAGATAACTAATTAATTTAAAAATAATATATATATACTACAATATATACATAAATTTAAATGTATTCATTTCATTGTGGCTCGATATACCCTAAAGTAAAATGTATACAAAATATTTTCAAAAATGCTCTTCGCATTTCTAATAAAGGACATTAGAAAATGTCATTTAGAGTTTTGGGCCTTTTGGCTGGGCGTGGTATGGGTGGCGAGGGGG